GGCGGCGTCACACAGCCTTCCACATGCGCGTTCACCGGCAGCTCGCCGGGGTTGCGGGAACCTGCACATAAGACAACATTCCCTCACATAAATCGAAACCTGTATTAATCGATTGCATAAGTTACTAAAATGCTTCATCCTATGCCAGGTTTTTATCTATTTATCTCTTTTATATACCGTCATGTCAGTCGTCATTCTTCTTGATTATGTCTCCTTTCACGTAATCGTCTATTTTTAGGCTCAGCTTTACTTGTACCTCCACTTTCTTAATTAAGCAGCGTGCCTTTATTTCACAGTTATAAGAACTGAATGCTTTTGATGTTGATATTTGGCGTTAAAACTGTTAGTTTTTATCAACAAGTGACAGAGTGAAGGGATTATTCCCAACCTTCACCCCGCTGAGTCCCCACGTGAGAACAAAAAGTTTCATCCGTCCCACCTTTTAGTCCTACTATCGCCAATAAGGTGACAGATGGAACCGTTATGAAATGAAATAAGTTCGAACCGTCCCATCATCGCAAAAGGTGGGACGGATAGAACTTTTTATTCTCATCTGTCTTTACGTGGGGACAGAGCGGTATGTCGGTTGTGAAAAATCCGAGAGTAGATGATCGTATGCACTTACATTGTGTGACGGAGGTGGTCTGAGCGGTGACCGCGGCGGCTGCTGCACACAACAACACGACAACACGAAGCATTCTTAACAACTCTTCTCCTCAGATCCTAACAATACTATGTACATGAAGACATTGTTCGTATTATCACGCAGGTGTGCTATCATTCGTAAAAATACTGATTACGTTAGATTAATACGTATATCATCATTATTTCAATAATTAAAGATAAAGTAGAAAACGGACAACACGTGTGTTACGTTAATTAGTCATCTTAATAACTTTAGCAAATGTGTCATAATACAACTTAGATTTTTACTTTAAAACTCTAAAAAAACACAACTTTTACATATAGATAAATGTATTTTTATATATTTTGATATAATTGTAAAGTAAAACGGTAAAGTAAATACAAAAAGTCATTCTGTTCGAATATAAAAGATTTATTAGAGGTTTCATTTGACCGCAGCAATCGGCAATAGTTTTTTTGATAAATCTCAATATAATTTACAACAGCCGCTGCGAGCTGCGAGAATTCGTTTTATTATTCTTTTAACGTAAATCAAGCGCAGATTGAAAATAATATATTTCATTGTATTTATAAGAAAATGGACGTCGTTCGATTTCTGTTCCGAAACATTTGTTATTCTTTTAGTAGGAAATGAATTATTGGTTATACGTGAGTGGGAACTTGCCCGCCAATACCTTAGAGATTACTGTAAATTATACTTTGCGTCTTATTTTTATAGAAACCAGTAGCGTAAAGGGAACTTAGTCTATTTTATTCCTGTCTTAAGGGAAACGGAGGTAAGGGAGAATTATTCCAGTCACTGGCCGTAGTAAAAAAGGAAGAGTAGCTCTGTGTCTCTGTGTCTCGCCTGAAAAAGGTAGAAACAAATGCTTTTGCGTTCGTTGTTTAAAATGCGTCTTGAATTTATATAGTAGCAAACTGTTGGGAACTCGTTGTGTAGAACTTTTAACGAGCAGATAGGTTGGTGATCGACTGATCATTAAAAGTTAGCAAAACATACAGATTAGGAACTAGAGAAAGCATTTAACTAACAATATTTGATTTGATATACCGTTTGTTTAACTCTTTAAAATTATTAAAAAAAATAGTAAAATTATAGCCTATGTTAGTCATAGACAAATTACCTTTCTAATGGCGAAAAAATTTTTAAAATTGGCCCCGTAGTTTTTTCGTAAATGAAAAATATACATACGTAAAAATACAAATAAATCTTTATAATTAGTTTAGATTTAGTTTTATGACTTATTAACAAGTTAAAAAGATAGATGGCGTTAAATTAGCTTTTAGAATTTTAATGAAAAAGAGCGTTATGTTTTGTTTCAATTAATTTTTTTATAATTTCAACAATCCACCAGTAGATGGCGTTTTATCCGAGACCATTCAAAGTGTTGGCAAATATTATGGAAAATATTATTAACGATTTTAATTCCTACGATTTTTAAGATAAGAATTTACAACGCTTTTTAATGTAAGAAAATAATTACGTTAGCTATCTAAACATACTTATTCCGTTATTTGAAACTTGAAAATGTTAAAAATTAAGTAATAATTATCCGTAAACACACGGAATTGTTTGATATTATTAAGAGATAGTGTATTGATTCCTATTTAAAACATTAGGGTAATAAGAAAAACACGATATTGTGTCATAATAAGTAACCTATATTGTTAAATTATTTGACGTTTTCTGTTTAATAAAATGGATAACATTTGGTCTTCACAGTTGAAGACACCGTGGCGAGCGGCACACCGACATCAAATATCTGAAAATGACTACGAAAACGCGGATATACCGAACATATGGTAAGATTTCGTTTATTTTGAATTTTTGAGGTTATAAATGTTATACGAAATTTTAAGTTCATATTTGAAACATTAACTGTGAAAAGGTTTGGCGATGACTCTAGTGTGTTTTGTGTTTTTTTATCGTTTTCCAAAGCCTGTAGCTGATATGCCAGTATTTGCCTGCAAGTGTGTCAGCAACTGCAGCCACTGGGGACGACAATTTTTCATGTATATATTTGGAGTGTAATGGCATGTGATCAGCGAGGAGGTGCGCGGTCGGCTGGCGGGCGGCGGGCGCGGGGCGGGCGGCGTGCTGCGGCTTGGGCCCGCGACGGAGCTGCTGCACGGGGCTGCGCTGGTGCTACTGGACAAAACTCAACGTGCCTTGCAAGGTCTAATACTTTTATGATATAGTTTTTGTTGTAGTTATGATAGAGATGGAGGCGGTAGATGTCTACTTGTTGCAGCTGCGCCAATCGAAATAAAACAAGAGTTTTCTTCTAGAAAAAGTACACATTTATAAATTGCTTTTTTAATTTAACAAGCACTAAAGTTTGCGAAAAGTTCGTCACGTCGTTCACCCAAGTTTTATTTCTGGAAGTGTGAAGAAGCTAAGCTTGTCCTATTAATTTACATAATCCTTATATTTATTTCAGACACATTCGAGTTGTCACAGAAGATAATGTTGAAAAATTATCAAAACCTTCCTGAATGTTGGAGTTCTGACGATCTGGAGGAAGAATCTGAAGAAGATGGAGATTCAGAAGTAGAAAGAGGTATGTTTTATTTAACTATGTCAAGGAAGCCGTCAGCAAGGAAGGCGTAGGATGTCTAGACTAGAAGTGATCTAATATTATTTTAGGTAGTGGTTAATAACTTAACTCGCATTAAGGATAGAAAATTAATATTATTATTTCAGTTCCTTTATTTGGTAAAAGTTCCGGGAACAGAACGAACGATTTAGAAATGTCAAAGAGTTTGAGAAGCAACGAAGTATTGGAGACGGCAAGTGACAGCGGCGAGGAGGCGGCAGAGGCCACATCCAGTGACGAGTTAAGCAATGTTAGTGACGGAAATGAAGGCAATGGTTCTCAAGATTCCAGATCGGAGGTAACTAAATATTTTTACTTAAAGTAAATTTAACATTGTTCATTTTTACTCTTATTCCCGGAATTTGATTTCTAGTATTGGTTTTTACCTCTCAGGCGACATTTTTACTGTGCCTTGACTACCATGGAGGGAGGGGGAGGGAGTTTAAACATATTACATGAAAGTAATACGCAGACCTTTAACGCCGAGGGCAGTGACACCACGCTTTATATTAAGGGCGGTACTAAATGTAGGGGTTTTAGTCAGTTATATTGTATTATAATAGTTATTAATATTTGAAGGAAGAAGATGCTATCGAGGTAGAAGAGCGTGCGGTGCAGGACAGGCAATGTAGCGAGCAAGATAGCAGGCAGGGGAGGGGCCAATGTAGTGAGCTGGGCGAGCAGGGTGAGCAGGGTAGCGGGCAGAGTAACGAGCAGGGTAGTGGACAGGGGAGGGGACAGGGTAGCGAGCAGGGCGAGGTGTTTAGCGGACAGGGGCGAGGTCAGGCTAGCGACCGGGGCAAGGTGGGTAGCGGGCAGGGGAGGGGGCGGTGCGCGCGCGGCTTCGACCCCCGGCTGAGGCTGGGCGTGATGCTGATCTACGAAGACTGCACTCAAAGTGTACCAAGTAAAATATTCGTCTCATCGATTAATCCAAGAACTAAACTGTAATTAACATATTACTTTGAGTCATAATTACAAGTATTCCTTCACTGATTTTATATTTTTGTGTTGAAATAATGTTTAAGAATTTTTTTCGTTATTTTTTTTGACAATCTTTATTGTGTAATTGGAACCAAATAAATGGTTTAAAAATGAAACCGTTCAATTATTTTGCCTGTGACAATAAAAGTACAACCTATATTTATAAAAATAAGTTTGTATTGAAAAGGCTTCAAAACTACTGAATCGATTTCAAAAATTCTTTGACCCTTTAGAGCGTTTGACCAAACTATCGCACAACTGTTTAGTCGCGCTTTGATCTTTGATTCCTATGAGCTTACGTGGAGGTGCGGACATTACACGATGTTTAATAATAAACAGTTTAAATTAAATTAAAAAAACAGTTAAATTGGCTGCAAAACAATCGACAATCGTACAACTGTGGTGCGAGAGTTTAGTCAAAGGTGTGTACTTGCTTTTAGAAAGCTACATTATCAGTAAATGACAAAAGATTTATTTTTAATTAATATTAAGATAAAAAGTAGCCTATAGCCCGTCTATGTCTGCTACCCTTCAGTTAAAGTCGAAATCCGTCCAGCCGTTTCGGAGATTACCCGGAACAAACGCGTGCGGACAGATATATTAGCAACTAGTAAACTAGGTTACAACTCGTTACATACTTTTTTGTTTAAAAATATGCACATATATTAAAAAGAGCTTAAGTTAACATTAAGAACTCTGAGAGCAATTCATCGGTACAATAGTAGTTTTAGAATCACTAAGTTAAGATGCATTTACGAAGTCGTTCAGTTTCAATGAGACTGTCTCCTCCTCTGGTACACTCCGCTGCACACATTTGTTACACAAATTGGACGGATTTAAGGCATTTGTTTCAATAACGCGGGATAACTGCTCCTGACATTATAAATTTCTTTCTTCTGTGAAATATATCGAACAAGCGAATTTCTTTTCTATTATCTTTGACTAGTTGTTGCTTGTAACTTCGACCGCATGTAGCCTATAATACTAACTAATAACGTAGCTTTATGGTGTAAGAATGTTTAATATAAGCCCAGTAGTTATTGAGTTATTTCAATCCATACAAAATTACAAATCTTTATTTACGAGTATACTAATGTTATAAAGAGGAAAGATTTGTATTTTCGTATTTTTTTTAATTCAAGTAAAAACTACTGGACGATTTTAAATTCTTTCACCATTTGAAAGCTACGTTATCAGTAAGTAACATAAGGCTATATTTTTTAATTTCACATATTATTAGCATTAGTATACAAGTATCGATATAGATTAAAAAAATAACTGCGAATTTTTATAATGAAAAAAAAAAAACATTATGTAGTTAACATAGCGCGTTTAATCGTAAAGATTTTTAAAATAATGAACATGAAAACATAGAAATAATTCATTAATTTTCATTATGTTTTCTAGGTAAATAACAAACAGTCGGTATTTACGATTTGCTAGTGACACATACAAGAAAATAGACAGTACTACATGCTGCAGTTCATTTAATAACTAAGTCATGAAATTCTCGTAGTTTCATATAAATTCCGAATCGCCTGCAGAATAGAAATACCTTGGGCAAGCATTCTCATGGAGAGCGACCACAAAGGGAATTTATAGTGAAAAAAAAGACATTATTAACTAAACATATAGTATTTCATCCCTTAACTTTATAACAGAAATAATGTTTTTATTATATTTGTGTAGGCAGATAATAAAAGTTGAAAATCTTTCGCAGATTGTACGAATGCAAAACAGGAATTTGTACAATCGGGAAATCTGTCAGTGTCGCAATTTCTAATCTAATTGTACTATCGTTTTGTACGCATCGAGACGGAACAATGACCAACATAACGTAGCCTTTAAATGTGACTGTACAAAAAAACTATCAGTGGTACACGGATAACGACTTAATATTATCCTGTCGTTTGGACAACTCATTGTTACATAATAACTAAACAATTTTTCTGTAAAAATACCGCTGATCTCCCTAACTGTACATACGTCCGAGTATCCGACAAAGTAAATACGACCGAATATTGGCCCACTGAGATTGAAATCTCGCAAGCTTTTATTTACCGATTTTGTTCCATTTTTGTGTTGAATTTGAAGCCGGATTCGATTCTTTGAATCTAGAGGTTCATCTGCAAAGTGAAAATGTTGAATATTGGTTTGATAATCGTATTTGCTTAATTAGAAATAGTTGTTTAAGTAATAATTATCATTACTGAATTTTAGGGCTAAAAGATGGCTGTTATGTAGCAACCTCAGATCATTTTTCTAGTGTTAAATCAATTTTTTTTTTTAAATGTGTCACCTTCTATTTATAAATCCCTAATAATCCAGAGTGTTATATTCGTGGTCCCTCATGAAATAAAAGAATAAATAAATATTAAGAAGTCCTCAGAAACCGCGCGGCTCATCAAATTTATAAATATCTACCATTCCGCTAAGCCCGCGTCCATTTCGCAAGGATCAGTATAAAGTGGTAGGATTTACTCTAAGTACTACCAACATCTGAACTTACGACGTTCATTTATTACGTATAAAATTCTAGTAATCGTACGATTGAGATTATTATTAAAACACTAGCTTTCGCCCGCGACTACGTTCGCGCGGAATTAAGAAAAACAAAAGTAAGTAGCCTATGTGTTCTTATGACTATCCTCTACATGTATGCCAAATTTCATGGAGATCCGTTCAGCCGTTTAAGCTACAAACTCTAACAAACATCCATCCATCTAATAATATTAGTAAGATTATAACAATCTATACGGTATGTACATACTTGATTACTTGTATTTAAAAACTATTGTTAAAATTACTATAAAGGAGTCAGTTTCAAGTCACGATATACATAAATAACAACAGTTCACGTTTCAATGTAACAATTAACTCTGGGAGCGACGTTAATTGCTTTTGTTCAAGAAATGCAATTTCACATAAAGTAAAAGTTACTAAAGACTGACTGGAAGGATGTCGTTCATGAAACAAGACCTAACGTAGACTTAATGTGTGACGTAAGCAGCATTCTTTGAATTATTACATCTTTTATAATACTATACTCTAGCTAACTGTTGCGTGGTTGTCGATTGTTTCGCAGCCAAATCAACAATCGAGTAGTGTGCCATATAAGCACATAGAACACTACTACAGACGTCTTTTACTTGTAAATCAAGTGACATCTCTATTTCCTTGATAAAATGTTTACCGAAGCAAAAAGCTTGTACAGTCCTCTGAAAACTAAAGATGCCTAAACAGAGATTGGCTGACGTCGAATTGTGAGAGAATAAGCAAAAGCATTAAATTAATGTTCTAAAGGTACAAGTAAAAGTGTACCTTTCTGAATGAAAAGTTGAGTTATGATATTCAAATAAAGATTGGAAAAATATTAGCTATATGAGTTACGCAGGTTATACCCGATAGGAAATGTGGGACATAATGAGCTGCGAGCAAATATGGTAGTATTGAATTGTAGCGCCGGCGCCGAGCTGCATGCAGGCGTATTGACCTCCGCACGCAATCATGTCCATGATTTCCCCAGAGAGTTATAGCCATAGTAATTTCCTTTTTATACCTTAAATAGAATTTCTCCAACTCGCTTTCATCTCAAAGGATTTCTTCCTAATTGGACGCAACATCCACACTATAATCGAACTCCAAACTCCGGGATGTATTACGAGTATACACATTTTTTGTAATAAATACATCAATTTTCTCGTTGTAAATAAAACGAATTGTTTGAAAAAGAGATTGTTTTGAAATTACTCATAGAATGATTTAGAAAGTATTCATGGGCTGAGGCAGGTCAGCGCCGATGGTGCGCTGTATTTTACTTAGGAAGGCGTGGCGGTGGCCGCTGCCGGGCACGCGGTACTTGATGCAGCGCACATTGTAGCGGCCGACGACGGGCCACACCACCGCGCGCCGGTAGCCTGGCGGACGGTCGTAGCTGCTATTAAACCCTTGCGCGTTCTGCACGAACTGGCGCGGACGCTCCAAATCGTATTGCCCCGGCCCTGGCTCCCCCGGCTTGCGGTTGCACATCGTTAGATCCACAAGAGTGTTCCGGCTGCGGCAGGGCTGCTCCCTGTTCGTTTTGTTCATTTTCCCATAGTGTGATCGCTTGTACGTCTCCATGCAGCCCTTGAAGGTGTACGGCCACGTCGCGGCCGTCACTTTCATCGTGTTGAAGTGATTCTTGATCGATGTCCCGTCGCGTTTCCCCGTGAACAGGTCGTAGGGCCCTCGTAACGATACTATCTTCTTCGGTTTCTCTTCTATGTTGTCTTTGTCGATGTAGTTGTATCGATTCGGCGCCAGCGACCACTTGGGGCCGGGATCTTTAAACCTGCAGGGTTCTTGCATTTCGAAGGTCTGCATCTTCGAGTGAGGCCCGTGGGGTACTTTATATGGAACATGTTTGTGGTATGTGCCGGGCCCGGGGACGGACTCTTTTGGGGGTCTAAAGCGAGGAGTTCTCCCGAAGCCCACGTTGTGGCAGGCAGGCTCGCACTTCTTCTCAAACTGGATATCGTGCCAGGCTGGGCCCAGAAGGGAGTCGAACCATTTCTTGCGGTCGAGGACCTTTTGATTTCTGTAACCCAAGTTCTTCGACCATTCCTCAAGGTCACTTTTATATTTCCAAGGGTCAACGCGGTTTTTTATGTTCTTATTGAAATCGAATATAATATCGATGTCCTGGGGGTGGTAGAGGCAGGGGTCGCAGCCCTCTGCGCGTGTGATGTACAGTCCGTTGGGGTCTAGTTTCGGATGGCCGGTATTTTTGCCGAATCTTTTGACGCTGGAACCGAAACCTGATAAACGTTTTGTTGTCACCATTTTAGAATTACTTAGAAATTGAAAAACTGAAAGAGTTGTATTATTTGACTGACATTGGACTTTGACATTTTACAATTTTGATATATAGTGAAATGTCAAACTTAAAACCGTAATGCCAGTGTTTAAGACGCGAAAAAGGTATAGTATATTATTTTTATTGTTTCCTACATTTTTTCAGAACTGATTTCCGAAGGAATGTATTTGAGATATGTATTTAATATCCAGTGGTTGAGGCGATGCGCTTCGATTATTTGCTTGTACAGTCACGCGGAGAAGCGAAATAAAATTGCTCAGAGAAATGTTATCTTGCGGAAATGTGATATGTAATATAAAGCAGAGTGTTTTGTGCTTGTAAAATGAGCTTTCGTTAATACAATTTTGATGATTAGACGCCAGTATGTTTACTGCAAGAGATGTCTGTTTTGTTCTGTGTTATTCTTAAAAGTATAAAGTTACTACTTAGTTTGTATCTACTTCCATGTTTAATATCCGAAACGCTAAAGCGATTAACAGTGTAATCGGAGCTCTAGCTTATTGTATCTTTATCTCCTTTTGCATAAAGAATTTAAAAACAAAACACGCGAGGCCACCAACCGCATTCAGTAAAACCACTAAGTTTATATCTTGATGGTTATAAGGTTTCGTCAAAACATGTTTCGTATGCAAGAAACGGATGTAATACGAGATTGTGTAGGGTTATTGTGTTACAAAGATTAAAATATATTAAGTGAATTTTTAAGTTATTTATAAACCTATTTCTTTATATCTAGCATAATTGGGTATCATTTACTTGATGACTAAGTTAGAATCTGATTGACTTAAGGCCGAATAGTAAAATAAATTTGAATATATAACGTTTTAAATCATAAGGCCACAGTTGCATTTTAAAGTCAATTGAAATTTTGATGTCTGTCAGATTGTGAGTGGCATTTACAAAACGACGTGTTTAAGTTTAAGATTCGTTTCAGTATACGGCTGTTATAAATAAAACACAAAGTTATGATAAGTATTTTTATTTACACAAGTTACATTGGATATGTTATTTGAGAGTCATACAATATTTTTCAATTGTAACAAATTAATTTATTACTAATATTAATTTCAAGTACATTTATTTATGGAACTCTTAAAATTAATTGTGATTAACAAACACTTAGGATCTGTCCCACTTCATTGTAAATTGTCTGATAATAATCCAACGTGAAAAATATGTGATGGAAATATCGAATTTTGTTCTCTAATCTGAGCCCCTATCAACCAGTGGTGGGACAGCCCCTAAATCTTTTAAATACCTTTTTAACAAACCAGGCTGATGGTTGCGTTTAAGAACTATCTCTTTTATAGGAATGGTTAAATACAAAATAATGGGGATATTATTAAAAATGTCGACTTTTCAAAATTAGTGTAGTCTAACTACTAAAAACTTAGATTTACATTTTTATTACACTTACATTTTTCAAATACATTTCGTGACGATTCAACATATTACGTTATTGTGCCAAATAAATAAAATTATAATAACATCGGAATATTTAATAGAACACTACTTTAATTAAATTTACTGTGCAACTTATTTTCGTTTCTTAAACTTTTTTTTTAGAGAAACTTTTTACATTCCGAATCAACAACGTATTTTATGATCTATTTTCTATTATTATTCTTAAACGAATATGAAGTCAGGGTTGGAGCAGCAGTCACCCCTCTTGTCGAGGTCCTGTTTGGTCCTAAGCCACTTGCCGTGGCAATGGGGCGCTACGAGCGCGTAGAACCTTGTAGCGTGGCCCGCTACGCCATGGCCAGCGCACCGCCACTTCAGGTCCCGTCGTAGCGCTGCCGTTTCACACATCACGCAGACTGTACCACCTGAGAAAAAAACATATATAATAATATGGCAAACAGAAATTCCTACGTTAAAGTACAGTCATGGAAATCCACAGTGTTGGTGATTCTATATCTTTTGTGTTTGTCAAATAACTTAACTGTTGTGTGTACTACAAACGAAATAAATAAATAAAACTGTGTGAGTTTTAATACATTATTTTCTTAAATCTAAATTAAAAATCTCTTTTGTAATTTGTTTAACTTTGCTTGTTCAAGATACATTTATGAGCAATATTTCAGCTCGTACAATTCAAGCGCACATAATATCTGGCAGTATAATAGAGAAATGAACAATAACAATTTGCATATTAAATGTAACAAGTTACGTTTATTAGTGAACTGAATTGCTCTCGAGTACACAGTACATTGCACTGCATAGTACAGCTCCGTGAGAGCACGTTGGAGCAAATTATGCAGCACATAACTGCATCAACTAAATATATGAGAGATTTATTTTTCCTATAAATATTTCCTTTACCTCATTTCAGTATGAAGCGTCCGAACAACTTAATGTAAATCAACAAGTTCTAGTTATTTCCTAGAACTTGTTAAATAATTTCTAAATTGTAGAAATCATCTGGAGATCTAACAAGAAGCAATAAAGTACCCGTAACGTTTTTGACAAAATTTGTATTAAATTTGACAGTGATCTTTACGCTAATAACAATTTTTTCGATGACGTTACGAACACCGAATTATGAAATGTTCGTGATAGACCCCTCAGTTGTGCCTTAGTGTATGTTTAAATTGACAAATAAACTTTAGTAATCAACAACTCTGAGCTAGTTAATGTTAGTGTTTGTGTTAATTTCGTCTATAACTTAGTAAGCGATGCAATAAATAAAACTTACGTATACGATAATAAATTATTATAAAACATATTGAACACGTTATGCGCCATAAAGGCAGGGAAATGATTGTCTTTTCTCGCACGGATGAGAAATGACCCTTCGTACGGGATATGATTGAGTAATAAATCAATTTTATGACCTAATAAAATGCGAATAGGTTTGAAATTGCATTGAGTACGCACCCTCGCGCAGCGACTTGTACTCGGAGTCGAGGTGACACGCCTTCGACACTTTCAACACTTCAAACTGCACGCAGTATCTGAAAATATGGCAGCCTATAAAAGTGTTCAAATTACAAATGCACAGGGGTATAAAGTAAAGAAATTACAACAGGATTTTTTTTGTTATTTCCGTTGTTTATTACATTGCAATTCTTACTATTTTTATAAATGCGAAAATTTAGATGTTTGGATGGATGTTTGTTAGAGTTTGTAGCCTAAATGGCTGACAGGATTTCAATGACATTTGGCACAGACGTAAAGAACTTACGGAGTCGCGGGTGAAAGCTAGAAGTTAATAATTATGTTATAATAACTCACTCCCTGTGCGAGTTGGATTCGGGGTCGTCAGGGTTGCGCAGGCGCAGGTTCTTGCGTATATCGACGGTGTCGTTAGAGTGCCGGCTGACGGACAACGAGCCTGGCAGGATCATCGCTGACTCCTCTGCGATACAGATAATTACATTATGATATGCACAAGGAATATTAGGATTCATACACACACACACAGGGAAAATAAATTAGAAAATCTGAACCGATTAACATATGAGATAGGTACGAGTACATAGAGATAACTTTGTTGAGTCGACCTTTTTAGGAAATGGGTGAATGTACTTCAAGATATAATGTGAAAATAATTAAAATACGTCATAGTCCAGTAGTGGATTAATATAAGCTGAGAGTGCTATCGTCTTCTCTTTCCTTTACCTCTAAGCGGTATATCGCTGTCTGGTGCACAATCATGGTGCGCCTGGCAGGCACGGCGCTGCTGCAGCTCCGGGCAGTGCCGGCCGCCGCGCGCCGCCGCCTGCAGCACGCGCCGCGTCCTCTGCATACTACCAGATCCGCAGCCCGTGTCGCACTCCGACCACGGGCCCCACTCTGATATCACGCAATCCGTCACTGGAACAAACGACCTCTTATTATTTCAATCTAGACCCACAACAGACAAATAGAATTAACTTTAATAAGCCAGCCAGACTTGTAGGGCAAATAGGACTTTATCCCTATACATATATCCTCATATCCGATTTAAATCAAATTCATCACTTTCCGATCCTCACAGAATTAGTGGTTTTTAATTGTTTATTAAGGACAGTAATGAGACAATGTAATCAGCCAATTAGAATCAAATCAGGACATGTCAGTCAATTTATGTCAGGTCGTTGCGGACTGCGCTTTGCTGCTCTGTAGGGGACTGTATTTATAGAACTAGGACACGACACGGTTTAATACGTTTGAAATCAGCAATGAAAAGAAGCGTACAATACTAAAATCATCGAATAAAGTGCACACAATACTGCCCACGAGTGCTGATAGTTTATTAACAAAAGAACGCAAAGATTGGAAGCGGGATTAAAATGTTAAATACTAGTTCCATTTCCGAGTTAATTCCCCGCAGCTCGGCCCGGCTGCACACAAAAGAGGAATTGAATATTAAATAGTTCATTTTGCTCGCCAGCGCAGGGATATGGATCGAGGCAGCTACGGACTGGATGTCCCATACCAGTGCTTTTAGTCGGCAAGTCGTTGCACTACGACTGAACACTCTTGATATTTCATTTTCCAGGAAATGGGCAATTTTTGCAAAGGACAAGCTTCATGGCAAAATATATTAACAATTTCTGCTGCCTTATATATTTGTTATGTATTTCTAAAGTATGAAAATTATTATAAAGTCTGGTGAAAATATCGGTGTATCAAGAACGTGTAAGTATGTACGCCATCAAACTCTCAGGTGTATATTAACATAATATCGTTATATCCGATGCGAGCTTTGAAAGCTTTTCTAAAAACATAAAACTCCGTTAGCGCCCCCTGCGGCACGTGAGTGGGCATTAACTCTAAATACAGGGATGTGTGAACATGGGGGACAGAGGGGAGGTGCGGGGACACGACGCACACCTATGTTACCGTGAAACTTTGAAAACCGACTGTTTCTTTTAGCGACAATAAAACCAGCGATAACATTCCAAAAACATTTGCTTTTAAATGTTTTTTTAAATTATCTTAATTGATTTCATGATGTTTTTTAGGTAAAATTTTATCAGTTTATAATTTCCTGTCAATTCTAAAAGTCGCTGGTAAACGATGTACACTGATGGCGACATTTTAGGCCCTGTGGCGCTTTTAGACAGGTTGTTACATTTATTTTTCATTAGGCAGATGTTGTGTGTACCGCATCGCTCACGCGGCAGTAAATTTCGTGTTTCCACAACGCGAAAATAAGCTAAATGATCTTCAACATTGTATTATATTACGATGTGCAATGACGTCATTAAATAAAATACTTCATTTTCTAGCCCTTTACACTGCAGTCTAACTGTAGATTGTAACACTTAGGTCTAGACTTTACTAATGTTATAAAGAGGAAAGATTTATATTTTTGTATATATTGAAATAACTCAAAAACTAATTACTCGATTTCAAAAATTTTATCAATATTAAAAAGCTACGTTATCAGTGAGTAACATAGACTTTACTTTTCAATTTTACGCAAGCGAAGTCGCGAGTAACAGCTAGTCTTAATATATTTTAGATCTTTACCTCCACAAGTCTCCCTAAAATCGGGACAGCAGTCTCCAAGCTTCAAGCAAGCGTGGTCGCAGTAGCAGGGCTTATCGCTGACGTCATCGATGATGGCGTTCTGGTGCGCTTTTTGCACGACACAGGAGCTGTCCCTCCCCGGGCAGCAGAGGTTGGCATCACGGCAGGAGTTGGCGCAGCACTGTCCCGCTAAGTACACCGCGCTCGCCAAACAGATCCAGTAACGTAGCATTGTGTTGAAGTTACGGACTGGAATAATCTTGATACTGGATACTAGTGTATGAAATATCTGTAACAAAGAAAACATAATAATTATTGAAAATTAAGTCTTCTTAGTCGAAAAATTTACGAGTAGTCAAGCAAGAAAGATGTAATGGAGAAGGACATGGACGACTGTCAACGTTCAGGAGATGAATACAGAGAGAACTGCAAGTAATTATTGTGTAAGATGACCAATTCGCCAAGATAGCGAAGCGAGCGCTGCACAGACAATTGCATTTTACAGAAAGAGGACGTATCCCTACCTCTGCATCACATCCTCCACCAAACCCGTTTCTCCTCAACAAAGTTTGTCACCATGAACCATGAACAAATATATCAATACATTTAACTTTGCTATTGTAAGACTGATTTCATCAACGTAATTATCAATATATGTAAATAGAACAAATGGTGAAGTGGTGATAAGGATGTTATCAGCGGAAACTGGTTTGTGATCCGCACCCTGGGTGGGGCAACGACCTCCAACTGTCGGGGTGACGCCGAGATAAAGAAAGTGGCTGAGCTAAAGGGCGCGTAGATAAATGTTATAACTGATTTAAAAATGAAAGAAGTTTTTAATGTAAATAATAATAAACTTTTAAAGGTTGGTAGAAGTAATTAATAGACATAAAAATAAGGAAATTAAAACTAAAATAGTTGTGAAACTGTAGATGACTTAGAAATGATATAAGATCTTAAAATATATATAAAAAAAAGCACCTTTCTACTACCATTATTGTAAAATATTGTATAAGTTAACAAATGACCAAACAATAATATTAATATTAACATTATTTCGTACGTGTTTTTTACGTGAATACATTTTTAAAACACCAGTCGTGAGGGTGAAATATCGTCGTTAGGGCTGTCACACATCGAATTGACAGTAGATCCACGTGACATCCGCTCACAAACAATTTGTAGAAACACAATAGGATATCGTGCGAACGTGCTAAATTTGTTAAATCATTCACATAGTTATAAGTTTATGGAATTTGTTACACATTAGAAAATAGGTTAATTAAAAACTAAATAAATCTCATTTATCTACCATTGTGAATAATTTAATGCGTTTACATAATAAAAGGAACCTTAGAATTTATGATCGCACAAGTAATGTTGCTAGGCAACCAAGAAACTCATCCCGTCCTGCGCGTTTAACTTATTCAATGGAAACGGATGTTCTATAACTTAATCTTACTATTTCCTGCTTAGTTCGTCCCTATCTTTTCATAAACTCAGTTACCGGAAGTACGGAAGTATTAACAATGCCCTTTGATTCGAACGTATATGTTAGGTTTGGATTACATATTAGATTTCGCATTACAAATTCTTATTTAAAAAGTTTTCTTGTTATCCATATTTTCTAATGAAAAATAGAGACATGGATATTATATATTATTTTTAGATATTAATATAAAACCTTATAATAGAAAATTTGTAACCATTTTCATTATTAATTAAATTTAGGGATCTCTTAAACAGTATTTAGAAGCCTATTACGTGAGCACACTTTAGACTAAACTATCGGGCAACTGTTTAGTCTCGCTTTGAATCCTATGACCTTATATGAAGGTTGCACACTACTCGATGTTTAATTGTGCAAATAAAAAGTTGAATTGGCTACGAAACATGTAAAATCGCAAAACTGTTGTGCGATAGTTTAGTCAAAGGTGTACGGCCGATGTTAGTAAGAATTTACATTCACTATTTAGTTGTCAACTAAGTTCAAAACAAACGCCAATAATCACTTGAAATGTATAATTACTGGAAAATTCCGATATTAAGTTAAGTTAAATTAAAAGCGTAGAGCTTTTTTAATTAGGAAATGAACCCTCCAATTTTATGAAGTAGCACATTCAGTATTCATTTCGCTCCCAACTTCAGCGGCTCTCCAATTATTAATCGGAATATTAGCGGCCTCGGATTCAATGTGACGCGGTCTAATGCATAGGAGAAAGCGGATCATACTAAAAAAACTATATCAATTTCTAGGATAAACTAAATCGTTATGAGTTTAAAATACCAACTTAATGAAGGTTTACTGTTCAGACTAAAACATTTTTGATTAGTTTTTTTTAAGTTAAAAAGATTTTTTTTTAAGTGAAGAAGATACAAATACTCTTATGGACATTACTTCAAAGTTCTTCTATTTTTCGGGTTTAGTTTTAGAATCTAAATAATTGATAATTTTTCTTGTAACAAGTGAAATTGATATCGTATTTTATGAATATTTTCTGTGTTATATCCGCTTTTAACTGAACACTTGTACTGTTTGTGTAATTAACCACGAATGTAATGCTGATACTCAATGTAGAAGTACTGTCGCTCAATGATTTATGTATGTTTTAATTTACACATTCAAGAATAGGACTCTTGAAATAACGCAATGTTAATAAATGTGTTTACATTTTTAATTCATCATTACCAGCTCACTATATGTCCCAACCGAGGGGCTCGGAGTCTACTCTAAGTTAGGGTGACTAGGCCATAGTCAACCAAGACTTCACACATATCTTCGAATTTCTTCGCAGATATGTGCATCACGATGTTTTCCTTCACCGTAAGAACGTCTAGTAAATTATGTACATATGAAAATTCGAAAAATCGAAATGCACATAGGTACAGCGGGATTCGAACTCAAGAACTGTAGATTACAAGTCAAGTGCTTAGACCACTGAGCCACCGACGCTTCAATTTTTTATTATTCCCATAAAAAATCATCTATACTATATATCTATACTATTATAATAAAGCGTAATCACACACTTCTTTGTTGCCTAAGATGTCAGCAATTACAGCATATATTTGAATAATTCTTTTATTTAATAAAAAGCCCTACACTTACGTCACGCTTTAGGCTATATATTTTCACGCCATTAAACTTAGGGGGTAAATATTTTGTATAAAAACGCTAATGTGGGAAAGAGACCATAAGTTGCTGCCAACATCAAGGAAGCAACGTTGCCATGGTTTGTCATCGTCATGTCATTTTGACATTTGCAATTGATAATTTGACACATGTAAAAAATAAAATAAAATTTTCATAATTTTATGCGGATGAAGTCGCACTGAGACAGCTAGTTAATTGATAAAATTAAATTTAAATTATACATTAATTGTAATCCTAGAATTTGATTCTCGAAATTTTCGTAATAGGTACCTTGTTACTATAATCGTGTTGAGATTGTCCTTAGTTTCAGAACTGCCTTTTAATTACTTGTTTATTGATAATCCGTTTAATGACGTCACAAATTAGCATTTTGTGACGAAATCATTTGATGCAAAGCGAAGCTTTTTGACTTAAATCAAAATCGATTACAGTAATGATAATCGCGAGTACTTAATATGTAGTTATTAATTGACCGATATCTATCGTTTGTGAAAACTGGCTGAATTATAATTTCCTAATTGTCAGTATGATTACAAAAAGGTAACTTAAGTACTAAGCTTTGTAGTAAAACGATGATATGCGAATAATCTTTATGACTGCAAAGTTAAAATGACTTTAAAATAAATAAACCTAACGTCTTGAATAAGGGAATTAAATTTAGTTGAGTTACAAACTAACATTTTACGGGAAAACGATTTTTATTACATTATTGCACAGTGTAAACCTTCCTTTACCAAAATCAACTTAACAACTTGAATATTGGCGGGAGTACATGCAAAACGTATTTCAGTTCATTAAGCAATAATAACGTTGGCTCGTTGGGGTCGATAGCGGCTGTCTTTGAATTACACACAGTACATCAAGATACCCACTGCAACAGGGATACAAAAACGTAGTCATCTCTCTTCTTTTCATTAACATAACAGAGACAGCAATATACTTTTTACTTACGCGGTTACGTATTGTAACATCATGCGATGTATTTTACGCGCGGCAACACGACTCTTTGAAGTTATCCGCTTTAGTAAGTTAAAGGAATATTTCTTTATTTCAATACAATTGCCTGATTAAAGATAAATTAATTTATTTATTGGAGAATTATGTTATTTATTCCCTATCTTTGAACTCCTAATGCTGCATTTCTTCAGGTTATGAACCTTCAGTATTTATAGACAAAGTTCCGATGATACCAAGCGAACTATTTTCAGAATGATTTATTGGATGGATGGATGTTGTCACTGTTGAGTGCAAAATACAACCTCTTTGGCTGACAAGCAGTATTTATACAGCCAAAGAGGTTGCATACTGGCCACCAAGGCAATAATCGTTTGTAAAAGAAAATATATAAAAGAAGAAGTCAAGATGTGATCGATATAGTTTGGAGTTTTAAGTTTTTGTATATTTTTTTGTGTAAATAAGTTTTTGAATATAGATATATTAATTTGATAAAAGTGTTTTGTATTTTTGGCTGCCGCGCTGTCGGTAACAAGTTAAACAGTCACTACGTATCGCCGAAACAGCTTTATCTTGAAGTATTGGAACAGATGTAGAACAATTTCTGACAGAACATAAAACCTATTTACTAAGTTTGTTTTTAATTTCACACAGAAAAGATCGCAAGTAATAGCTTGTCAAAATGAATAATTATGACAACTGTAGCGCTGTACGGAAAGTTACTGTAAATATGGACAGAGAAATGATTCAAGAGCAGAAGAGTTCGGTACTGCGGGGACGCGGAAGTTATACAGCTTTTGTAACTCTCTATTGAAACTTTAAGTTGAAGCGCACCTTCATCTTGTGCATATTGTGTTTACTTTAACTTTATTGTGCATCTTGTTGTTGAATTGACCTGGATTTTATTTTTATTTGAACTTATGATATTGAATGAAAAAACATATATTTCAAATTTAAATCTTAGGTCATTAAAAAAATGTATAGAGTATTGAGTTTACCCTTGAAATTTTTTCACATTGAGATATAACCGTACAAAGAAGTTACCTGTAAAAATGTTTTCTATGTCAAGTCTGTATATTTCTTGAATGTCTTCGTTTTAGGATATGCATGGAAAAGTTAACGCGGACCCAACGTATAATTCCACAACTCGTTTTATAAGCACAAACACTTTTTGCGGTGTT